TCATGCAGCACAGATGGGTATGCTCTATAGTTCACTCTATGTATCCTGCAAAGATATGAGCTAATGGGAGACTGCTTCCGAGGAACTGTTTCAGTTTTAGGAGACTATGCTGCTGCTGATTGCCCTCTGGATCTGATGAGGTTAGGGACAGTGAGCGACCCACAAAGTTGCGTCTCCCTCAACTGACATGGATGTGAGGAGCGGTATGACCATCAAAGAAAGTGTACGAGATGTTTTTGTTGGTGGTAGTGGATATGTAAGTTTTCTTCAATTAACTAACGAACCTTATTGAGTTATCTTAGCTAATTTTAGAATCTCCAATACATTTTTCTAAAATCACTTGGTGACAAGGGAGTTCCAACAAATGCCTCAAAATTAAAATTTGTTTTTGAAAGACTGAAGTTTATGAGTTTTTATCGCTTAAATCTTCCCCGATCATCAATGATTGAGCTTTTATATCACTTCTTGCTTGTGTGCAAAAATTTGGCGGGGTATTCAGTACAACACCAGCCGTATGGATGATCATGGTGATGACAGCATTGTACATCAGGTGGTGGGTATTTCTGATAATTGTTTGGTGAAAATAGCAAGGAAAGCTACTAGATTAAAGGTTATCCTTGTGCACATTTAATGAATGGGGATTGAAGCATAAAAAAGAAAGTTATTAGATTAGAGGTTACCCATGTGAGCATATAATGAATGGGGATTGAAACAACAAAAATGCTGATCAATGTCTCAACTGAACTGTGGTAAACACCAGGACTGCAGATACGTCCCCATGGGACATTGCTATGTTACCATCCTCAGGAACCCTGTTTTCTCCATTAAATGCCTTTTATGGATAGCTTTCAGGACCACTTTCCCTATTATAAGCTATTTTATCATTTAATCTACTTTTTGCTTGCTTTGCAGATTGTGAATGATGTTAAATTTACTGTGACTCAAGCAGTGGAGCCTGTGGAGAAGGGTATTACAAAGTTCAATGAGAAGTTGCATAAGATCTCTCAAAACATCAAAAGGCATGACAAGGATAGGAGAAGGACAAAGGATGACAGTTGTCTTGCCTCATCTTCACCAGCCCGAAGGGTGATCCGAGGAATTGATGACCCACTTTTAAATGGTAGTTTTAGTGATAGTGGTGTTACAAGAACCAAGAAGCATCGGCGGAAATCAGGATATACTAGTGCAGAAAGTGGGGGAGAAAGCAGCAGTGATCAAAACTATGGCAGGTATCAAATCAGGGGGAGCAGATGGCTCACCAAAGATTAAGCTGTGGTGAATATCATTACTCCTGGTATTAAGCAGCCAAAGATACTTGTTTTTCTCATGGAGATGCATCTGGGTTTGTAAGCACTAGTCAAGAAGAGTTTTATGAGGAAGAGCCGCTAGACAATGACAATGATGTGTTTTTTTCAACCCAAATTCCTAAGGTGGATAATTTTCAGCTGATGTAGTGATTGCTTGGCAAAGAAGCTTAGGTACTTTTAATGTTATTGCACAATGGAGGTTCAAACATGTGTATAGAGATTTTTCATTAGGCATAGCTGGTTATATATTATTGTTATTATTATACACAAGGGTTTTTACTTCATGTCAAATGATTCCTTTAGATATATTTTTGGCCATGCCCCTTTTATGAAAATTGAATGACAGTCTTTGTCCCCACATCTCCGGCAGGTGTTTGCATTATTTCGATGGACATACATGCTTGCTCACATATAAAAATAACTATTTAAATTCTCAGAAAGAGAATCTTGGGAATTGCTTTGAATCACCTCTCACATCAGCTTCTAGAGTCGAATTTCCTGTGGGATATATTTCCTCAAGCCCAAAAGAGGAAAATACGGGTATGTGTTATACTAATAATATGCAGGCCAAAAAGTTCAACAGCATGGAATTATAATGAACATTTTGTTTTGGCCGCAGGCTCTGTTTTCTGGATTCTCTGCTCTACAGAAACAAAGAGAGGATCAACAAAAGATCCACTTCTCAGTTTTGAAGATCAACCAATATTGAATACCATAAGCCAATATAGATGCTAAATTATTTAGTTGACTGGTAAATAAGTATTGTTAAAGATGTCCGAATGTCCAGGTTTTACCCACCCGGCACATGTCTAGTTATCAGATAATTGGCACTAATTGTCCGGTAAGCATGGCAAACTTTCTGTGCTCTGACAAGACATCACGGACCCTGGTCTTTCGAAACCTTGAGGCCAGTTCACAAATTTCTTCTTTATGTCTTTTAGCTGCAAGCATAATCGTTTGTAAGATTTGCAGAGGATCACCATGGCTGATCACCAAGATAGCGCAGCTACAGGAGAAAAACAAATGAGATTTAGTTCAAAGAGAAGAAAGGCGGAAAAGTAATCTATAATCAACATCTTTATCAAATGACATAAGTATTGATCTCCGAAGATGACAGAAGAAATCCTCAATTTTTAGCCAAGGAACTGAAATGAGCTCTGTTTATAATGAAGAGTTGTTCTTGGAACATTCCATAAGGGGCTATTTGGTTCAGGGAACGCTATATAGATTCTTAGTTATCCTTGGTGGAAATATCATATTCCTGTGTTTGGTTACTTTTGAATGAGAAAAGTAATACTTTAGAGTACTTTAGATTCTCCTACTAAATCCATATTCGCAATGCTGATTTTTCTGTGATGCAAAAGAAAATACTAACGATATTACCCTTCATATTCTGACTCCATAGTTTCGACAGCACCAGCAAGTCTTGAAGCAACATTATCAACGCTTTCTCCACCTTCTAGTGGCAAAAATGGATCTCGTTCGTCTAGATCCCATATCTCCACATACTGTTAACCAAACAATTAAAAAAAGAAAGAAAGCTTGAAATGCTAAAAAATTATGGTGTAGAAAATACAGAAACCATCCTCGTTATAGATAGGCCAACTTTACACCATAAGAGACCTGGAAAAGAAAATTGAACTCCAAATATATAGTATCTCTTACTTTGTCATGGGACATAAGTTCGAAAGTAGGTCCAAAATATCGTTCCCGTAGATCATCCATCGCCTGGGAAACATAAAGCTGCCTAAGAAAATAAAGAAAGGAAGAGGAGTACAAAGGTGCTGACTCCAGGGAAGAAAAAGCAAGCTTGGTAACTTAAGAGAAATAGTTTAAAACTGTCTAGAGAAATAAAAAAGAAAGTTACAAAAGAAATTTGGCAGTGTTCTCATCCACATTTGTGATTAGAGAAGACTTAAAAATTTAAGACAGAAACTACCAGATAGCCTCTGCTAACCATCTGTTTGGAAACAAATTATTAAGTATTCTAAGGGTACATATTAATTGCATGAATTCGTTGAATCTTAAATTCAGGACATGATTTAGGCTAACTGAGAAAGAAATTTATTAATTCCGCAGAATTAATTCGCAAATCCATTTACTTAGACTATGAGAAAATATTATTTTGTTAGAAGATAATACAATTTGATTTCATATAAAATTTATGTGGAAGCGGACAATATTTCCAAATTCCATGAATTTACAATCATCACAACGAAGTACAGGCTTGCTTTTTGTTTGGTCTGCCAAATCAG